TCCTGGGGGGAAAGGGAGGGGGGAGAATGATGAATTAAGATGTGGAGGATCCTCCACAAAAAAGAGTCCATTTGTGGAGGCTCCCCCACACATGGAATCAACATGTAAATCCGTCACAGAATAAGTTCGTCCCCTCCCTGCTCCTGTTGGAGGCCATGGGGGAAAGGCGAGGGGAGAGAGGGGGGGGGTCAACCTGTGAAGGATCCTCCACATAAGGAATCAACATGTGGAGGCAGGACCACGAAACGCTGGTATGCGCTGCTGTTCCTGCCTCGTCTGGCCCCCAAGGCCACGAAACGCTGGTATGCGCTGCATGTTCTGCTTTTTGTTTTGCTTTCTGTTTGGAAGTGCGAGTGGTTGTGTGACCGCAGTCCCCAACAAACCGAAACCAACCAAGAAAGCAACGCATACCAGCGTTTCGTGGCCCTCAGGACCTCGAAGCGCTGGTATGCGCTGCTCTGTCTGTTTGTTTTTGTCGGAACTGCGGGCTCGGCGGGTGGCTGTGTGACCGTAGTTCCAAACAAAAACAAGAACAGCAGCAAAAAGCAGCGCAGACCAGCGCTTCGTGAGCTCGGGGGCCAGCAGCAGAACAATCAGCGCAGACCAGCGTTTCGTGGCCAGCAGGCTAAACAAGCAGCGCATACCAGTGTTGAGCCTGCGTTATCCAGTGTTCAAATTTCCTTTATTGACGGGGTCCTCCACATAAAGAATCAATATGCAAACCTACCCCAAAAGCAATCCTCCTCCTCCCTCCTCCTGCCTCGTCCTGCTGAAGGCCTTGGGAGAAAAGGAAGGAGAGAGAATTCGCCGGCCCAACGGGCCAGAGGCGTGCTAAGATCTCCGGTAACTGGTTAACAATTGTATTGTACTAGTTCGCGCGCGCGGGGCGGCCCCTGGGGGTCCCCCGGCGAAAAGTACCCCGCCCGCCGCCTGGGAAGGTCCCGCCCGGTTCAACTCAGAGATGGTTTTCCTTCTGGGTGCGGCCTCTCAGGCCGCCCTGAGCGCGCCAAGAGTGCCCCAAGAGGCCCCCAAGACTGCCCAAGAGGCCCCCGAGACGCCCAAAGAGCGCTCGAAGACGCCGAAGATGACCCCAAGACGGCCCAAAAGGCCCCCAAGACAGCCCAAGAGGCCTCCAAGACGCCCCAAGAGCCTTCCAAGAGGCCTCCGAAGAGAGCCCCAAGAGGCCAAAATCGTTGATTTTCATTGGTTTTTTCGATGTTTTTTGTGTTCTGGCTTTTTCGGCTTCCGGACGCTCCAAGACGGCCCAAGAGGCCCCCAAGACCGCTCCAAGACGGCCCACGAGGCTCCCAAGACGGCCCCGGAACGGCCCAGGAGGGCCCCCAAGACGGCCCAAGTGCCGCCCAAGACGGACCAAGAGGCCCCAAGACGGGCCCAAGAGGGGCTCAAGAGGGGAACCGAGAACTGAAAAATCGAGCCCTCCGCCCCAGAAGGCGCCCAGGAGGCCCCAAAAAGGCCCCAAGAGGCCCCCAAGAGGCCCCCAAGACGCCCCAAGAGGCGCCCAAGAGGCCCAAAAGAGGCCCCAAGAGGCCTCAAAACGGCCCCCAAAACTCGGCTAGCCCACAACGGTGCGACAATATGGGCCGGCGGAATGAGCGAAGCGATTAAATAAGAAATTAATATGTGGAGGATCCTCCACAAAAAGGAATCCATGTTTGGAGGCTCCTCCACACATGGAATCAAACTGTACATACGTCACAGAAGAAGTCCTTCCCCTCCCTGCTCCTCCTCCTGTTGGTGGAAGCCTTTGGGGCAAGGGGAGGAGAGAGAGAGAGGGGGGTCAAATTGTGGAGGATCCTCCACAAAAGGAGTCAATCTGCGGAGGCAGGACCACGAAACGCTGGTCTGCGTTGTAATATTTGACATTTCGGGTTCCAAAGGCTACGAACCGCTGGTACGCGCTGCGTTTTCTACTTTGTGTTTTTGGGGGCAATGCGGGCTCTGCGAGTGGTTGTGCGACCGCAATTCAAAGAAACTAACTACCTTTCGCATACGAGCGTGTCGTGGCCCTCGGGCAGAACAACAATCAGCGCATACCAGTGTTTCGTGGTCCTCAGGACTAGGTAAACTAGACATCTAGCGGTCGAGAGGGAGGAGGAGGATGATGAGGACGAGTAGAGGAAAGGAAGGGAAGGAAGAGGAGGAGGAGATAAAATTATCCCGGCAAAGCAACCTAACAGCCATGTGTAGGAGCATCTCTGGGTCGAACAGCATCTCGACGAAAAGGCAGCTCTCCCCCCCCCTCCTCCTCCTCCTCGTCCTCCTCCTCCTCCTCCTCCTCCTCCTCCTCCTCTTCCTCCTCCTCCTCCTCCTCCTCCTCCTCCTCCTCCTGGTAGTCCTCCCCCTCCCCTCCTCCTCCTCCTCCTCCTCTTCCTGGTCGTCCTCCTCCTCCTGGTCGTCCTCCTCCTCCTGCTCGTCCTCCTCCTCCTCCTGCTCGTCCTTCTTCTCCTGCTCCTCCTGCTCCTCGTCCTGCTCCTGCTCGTCCTCGTCCTCCTGGTCTTGCTCGTCCTCCTCCTCGTCGTGCTCTTGCCCCTGCTGAAAATGTGGCCCAGGAATGGGAGTTCTGGGAAGTCGAAGAGCACGAAGTTGCCTACAGTTGGCTACGGGCATTCAAAATGTGGCCCGGGAATGGAGTTCTGGGAACTCGAAGAGCACGAAGTGGCCTACAGTTGGCTCCGGGCATTCAAAATGTGGCCCGGGAATGGAGTTCTGGGACTCGAAGACCACGAAGTGGCCTACAGTTGGCTCCGGGCATTCAAAATGTGGCCCGGGAATGGAGTTCTGGGAACTCGAAGAGCACGAAGTGGCCTACAGTTGGCTCCGGGCATTCAAAATGTGGCCCGGGAATGGAGTTCTGGGATCGAAGAGCACGAAGTGGCCTACAGTTGGCTGTGGTGGCCCGGGAATGGCGTTCTGGGATCTCGAAGAGCACGAAGTGTGTGACTGTTGCATCCGGGTATTCAGAATGTGGCCTGGGAATGGAGTTCTGGGAAGTCGAAGAGCACGAAGTGTGTGACTGTTGGTGAAAAACGAGCCCGGCACCCTGCCGCCCGGCAACTCCCCAACACCTGCCCGGACCCCCCTGTGGAGTGATCTGTGAGCTCTTTTGAGTCAACTAGAAACCTATCAGTCTTCGCTGTTAGGTAATTATCCCGGCAAAGCAACCTAACAGCGATGTGTAGAAGCATATCTGAAAGCATTCCCCTTAAGATTCAGATGAGAATCCAGTTGTAGAATTCTGCTGTTCTCGCAGTCGTAGTCGCATTCGCGATGACAGTCGCAGCGGCAACGGCAGTCGCAGTCACAGCCTCAGCCTCAGCCTGCCTCCTCCTCCTCCTCCTCTTTCTCCTGCTCCTCCTCCTCCTCCTCCTCCTCCTCTTCCTCCTGCTCGTCCTCGTTCTCGTCCTCCTCGTCTTGCTCGTCCTCCTCCTCCTGGTGCTCTCTCCTCCTCCTCCTCCTCCTCCTCCTCCTCCTCCTCCTCCTCCTGGTGGTCCTCGTTCTCCTCCTCCTGGTGCTCTCCCCCCCCCTCCTCCTCCTCGTCCTCCTCCTCCTCCTCCTCCTCGTCCTCCTCCTCCTCTTCCTCCTCCTCCTCCTCCTCCTCCTCCTCCTCCTGGTAGTCCTCCCCCTCCCCTCCTCCTCCTCCTCCTCCTCCTGGTCGTCCTCGTTCTCGTCCTCCTCGTCTTGCTCGTCCTCCTCCTCCTGGTGTTCTCTCCTCCCTCCTCCTCCTCCTCCTCCTCCTGGTGGTCCTCGTTCTCCTCCTCCTGGTACTCTCCCCCCCCCTCCTCCTCCTCCTCCTCGTCCTCGTCCTCCTCCTCCTCCTCCTCCTCTCCTCCTCCTCCTCCTCCTCCTCCTCCTCCTCCTCCTGGTACTCCTCCCCCTCCCCTCCTCCTCCTCCTCCTCTCCTCCTGGTCGTCCTCCTCCTCCTGGTCGTCCTCCTCCTCCTGCTCGTCCTCCTCCTCCTCCTGCTCGTCCTTCTTCTCCTGCTCCTCCTGCTCCTCGTCCTGCTCCTGCTCGTCCTCGTCCTCCTGGTCTTGCTCGTCCTCCTCCTCGTCGTGCTCTTGCCCCTGCTGAAAATGTGGCCCAGGAATGGGAGTTCTGGGAAGTCGAAGAGCACGAAGTTGCCTACAGTTGGCTACGGGCATTCAAAATGTGGCCCGGGAATGGAGTTCTGGGAACTCGAAGAGCACGAAGTGGCCTACAGTTGGCTCCGGGCATTCAAAATGTGGCCCGGGAATGGAGTTCTGGGAACTCGAAGAGCACGAAGTGGCCTACAGTTGGCTCCGGGCATCCAAAATGTGGCCCGGGAATGGAGTTCTGGGAACTCGAAGAGCACGAAGTGTGTGACTGTTGCATACGGCCCTCCAGAATGTGGCCCGGGAATGGCGTTCTGGGATGTCGAAGAGCACGAAGTGTGTGACTGTTGCATCCGGTTATTCTAAATGTGGCCCGGGAATGGCGTTCTGGGATCTCGAAGAGCACTTTGTGTGTGACTGTTGCATCCGGGTATTCAGAATGTGGCCTGGGAATGGAGTTCTGGGAAGTCGAAGAGCACGAAGTGTGTGACTGTTGGTGAAAAACGAGCCCGGCACCCTGCCGCCCGGCAACTCCCCAACACCTGCCCGGACCCCCCTGTGGAGTGATCTGTGAGCTCTTTTGAGTCAACTAGAAACCTATCAGTCTTCGCTGTTAGGTAAAAAGAGGAGGAAGAGGAAGGGGAGGAGGAAGATGATGAGGAATAGGAAGAGGAGTTGAGGAGGAGGATCATAACAAAACGTCAAAACCGTCCAGGCCTGTGAAGTGCCTGGCGCCCCTCCTCCTCCTCCTCCTCCTCCTCCTCCTCCTCCTCCTCCTCCTCCTCCCCCCTCCTGTTTCCCAACCCTCCCCATCCATCTCCTCTTCCTCCTCCTTATGCGACGACGACGAAGAAAATGGCGACGAACGACTACCACGGCCATCTCGCGCGGCCCCCAGGGAGGCGTGGCCAGAGTCCGCAGCGCGGTGGCGCCGGCGATGCACCGGCCGAGCGTCTGGATAGCCTCCTCGACCTCCTGGGCGCAGATTCGGGAGGAAAAGGGGACGGAAGCAGGAGATAGAAGATGGAGGGAACGGGGGAGGGGAGAAAAAAAAGGAGGGAGAGCACGGTAGGTGCGCTGGCGCCTTATCTGCCATCCTAACCCTCCCATCCAACCCTTCCCATTGTGCTGGTAGTTTCTATATCCGCGGACGCGTGTCACAGCGGACCAGGAACTCCCAAGAATACCCGACCGAGTTATGAGCAGTCCAGAAAGGAGAGCTGCGTACATAGGAGGGGGAGGAGGAAAAGGAGGTAGCGAATGAGCAGGAGGATGAAAAGGAAAAAAAAGAAGGGTCAGGAAAAAGGAAGAGGAGAAACAGCAGCATACGGCACATTGGCTTGAGTTCGCGCAATGTCAAAAACGAACAGCAGCGGCGGGAACTGAAGTGGAGGGAACGGGACAAACGGGAGGACTGGGGGAAGGAGGAGGAGAGGAAACGAGAATGGCGACAACAATGGGGAAGGCCTGGGATCCAAAAGCGTGGCCCTCGCTGGGGCGAGAGCTTCCTTCTGAACGACGGGAGCAGAGAACATATCCGAGAAAGAGACCCACGCTGGGGCGGGAACACAATTTTGAAACATCGGAAACAAGTCGAATTGAAACACATCCGATGAACATAGAATACCGAAATCCGATTGACACCGAAAACGAAAGGATTCCACAATCGGATTGAAACGCCGAAAACGATCGAGACCTAACGAAATACAAGAAACGTCACTGTTCGAATTCATGGGTAAAATAGTCAGCACGCGGAGAGGGCCGGAAGAATCCGACGGAGTCAGGGGGAGAGGAGATCCGTGTTCGTAGTGTGTACATTGTGGAGGGGGAGGAGGAGGAGGATGGATGATGAGGAGGATGTGGAGCGAGGGCTATGAGCTGGGAGGGGTAGGAAGACGAGGAGGGAGAAGCAGGGGAACTAGAAGCAAAGGAAGAAGGAATAGGAGAAGGGAGACGGTGGGGAAGGGAGGGAAGCGGAGAAGTTGGGCACGGAGAAGATGAGCGCCGATGCAACTCCTTGCATGCGCCTGGAGATCGTCCTCGGATGATGGGAAGGGTGGTGGGGGAGAAGGGGAGGAGGACGATGACGATTGGAAAGACGAGAAGAAGAAGAGGATGGAGCGGAGGAGCGGGACGAAGTCTGCCCCCTTCCCTTCTCCACCCCCTCGCCTCCACTCCACTTCAGTACACACCCTCTCTCACCCATCCTCGCTCCACCGGATGTGACAGCAATTAGTGTGGGCCAGGCGCTTCGCCTGAGGCTCGCTCGCATATTAAAATCCTAAAGACTGCGGCTGGGACGCAGCCGAGGGAACTTCTACATCCTCCGGGATCATCCTCGAACAACTCCCTTCTGTCCTCCTCGCAGTTCAACGCGCCTTCAAATGAGACCAACGCCAATCCAAGATCCCTGATGCCGTAGAAACTGTTGAGTGCTTGCAAAAGAGGTGTCGCACATGGTATGGCATCTGATTGCAATTATTAGATCCCTCCTGCTCCTTCTCCCTCCCTGCACCCCCCGCTGTTCTCTTTATTTTTGTCCCTACCCCCTCTCACGCACCCACAGAGACGGTCAACATCGGATCGGCAAATCGGATCGGGACGTGCATTGGATCGCGCCGGCTCGGCGCCGAGTCGAAATCATATTGGATCTGGCGCAAACGGATGCAAAATAACGCCATGTACTTACCTGGCCGCATCGAACCGACAGAACATCGGAGTCGAATCGCATCGAGACGGCCGAAACATCGAAACCGATTCGGAGGATCGATCAGATTGAAAAGGACTAAGGTCCCTGCTGCTCATGCCCCCATCCTCTCATATCCCTCTCTCCTCTCCCTCCCCGCCTCCCCTGTACTAATATCCTATCCCCCCCCGGGGTAGTAGTCTAGTCAGGGTGCGCAAGCGAGAGGAGGGTTTGAGGCACTCAAATTGAAACAAATTTAACTTGTCCTGCAAGCGGGGGTCGATGGCCCCAGCCGCACTCCGATTTTACTGTGAGGGCCTGGCGCGGTCACGGCGGGAGGCGGCCGAGGCAGTGCTCCCGCGAAGTGCACAACGGCTCGTGGAAACTCCCTCCCCTTCCACTCGTTCCCCTCCTCCCTCCCCCTTCGATGAGCGAAGTCACTCCCCCTCCTCCATCCCCCTCCTCCATCCCCCTCCACTCACTCCCTCCTCCCTCCCTCCACCTACTCCCCGCCTCCCTCCCTCCCTTCTCCAGCGGAGATGAGAGAGATGTTTCTCCTTGAGCCCTGATGCGAATACGGGTATCATACATGTATGTCTGCCTGCGAAGCTCAAGGCAGATCTACTAGAGATCTAAAACCAAGCCTAAATACCTGAATTTCTAGCTCTGGTTCCCGTGCCCCCAAGTGAAGATCAACTACCTTAAACTCTTCAAATCGAGGGTGATTTACATGCTCGGTAATCGTTGGAAAAAATCAAATACACTCGCATGCTTAAACATACAGCCTCTAATCGATAAGAACAGATATGTATATACTCGGGCCTGAGGAAAAGGCGAACGGACGGATCAAGCCATCGCGTAGTACACCATCGCGTAGATCAGACCGACACACGCGTTCTGGTCGAAGGCCCGAACATGGTGTAGCACTCCAGCATATGTCGAGACGAAATGTGATATGTCATCAGTGGCTAGTTCTTCAGTTCGAATAGGTCTGTCTCGCCGAAGCTGGTCTGAGGCTCGATGCTGGTCCGCATGGTAACACACTTGTTATTGGGAACTGCAACCTTCCAAACTCCAGTCGTCATACGTGTCATGAGTAGCCTGAAGATGCCGCGCTTACTGAGTCCGCCGACCAACATAACTGCCGTTGGGGTGTGACGAAAGTGCCCGATGCGCCCTGACAGTCGTTCTTCACGCATAGGTAACACTGCCAGCCGGGATCCTTTATCACTCGGTACGCCTTTGACTCCACGACACAGCTGCCAGAAGTCCACACAGCCCGCGCATGAACAACGCGAATTGGATACAAGCTTCGACCGACTACCTCCATCATGTCCACTGCCTTGTGCAAAGCGTCCGTACAAATCATGATCTCTGTGAGTCTGAGGGCAATGAATTGAGGACTGTGGTTGACCTTGTAGCCCGCGTTCGTCTCTGCACGACACGTCGAGCGTGTCATCCGCTTTGCCTTGCCCGAGGCCGAAGATAATGCATGGCAACTTCCTCCAATCATGTGAGCGTCATCTGGATGAACCTGATCTTTCTTGACTCGAAGTTCATGCGTGTGATCGTCCATCAAACACACTGCCGCACCCTCTTGAGGGTAAGAGGTCTTGGCGACGCCATGGCTTGCATCGCGAACTGGAACCAACCGCGCTGGATAACTGAGCGGTGCAGATTGGAGCCCCGCCATCTTGTTGTTCCGCTGAGATCGATCGATCAGGAGGTTCGCCTGCTTGAGATGATGGGCGTTGGCCTTGCGCACTTGCTGCTAGCGCTACCTCGCAGAAAATGTCCTCGCGTGTCTGACATGGCCACAACAAACTGCAAAGCGCGCTCCTCAAATCATGCTGCTGCCTGTGGTTGCACTCCTTCTCCGTCGTTCTTTAGCGCCGGCGCAATGAAGATTTCCTTCAATGAGTCCGTGAAGCTCTCCTGGTGGATGAACGAGTGCCGGGCCTTAACTGCTCGCATCTCATATCCATGTGAGTGAATCGTAGGTGATGACGTTTGATCTGTCCAAATCGTCTCTCCATCTCAGCCAAGCGCCAGCATAGAGGAACCATCCTCGCCAGAAGCATGATGTCGTCCACGTGCACAACCCAAACCATCATGATGTTAAACTCCTTGGTCCACATGAAGAAGTTATCGTCGAACGCCACTTGGATGCCAGCAAGAACTGCCATCACGAACAGTGAAAATGCCAACTGCAGTAGAAGTGGAGCGCCCACAGTGCCGTATATGGGCCTCAAGAGGTGCAACAGGAAGAATGGTACCTCAAGTTCTGAAATTCTGATGTTTGACTTGGGATAAATCCCTGAAATGGCGCCAGACGTTAGCCGGCGGTTTGAAATTCACTTTCCGCTGCTCTCTGACCTCGATGCCCATGCGCTTAGCATTCCACCGCGAAGTCTCGTAGGATAGGCCCTGCAGGAACGCCGTTGAGATATCCCACGTCTCCAGGATCATATCCTTTTCCAATGGGAACAACGAAGCGATAATCCTGTGAGAGAGCCGGGAGGCCGTCGAATAATGTCTCATCGCGTCATTCTTCCGTGCATCAAAACCTCTGACACAGAGGCGAGACTTAATGATCAAAGAGCTCTCGTTCTTGTCATTGTAGACCTTCTTCCAGCGTCTGACACATGCAGCGTCGATAATACTGTTCGTGCCCAAGCTGTTCTGGTGAGTCGCGCGAAAACGCTGATTGTCGATAAATGATCTAGCCTCGGCCCTGTCAGCTGCCTCGACCTTGTCCCAGTGAGCAGTGATGTCTGCTTCCGTGAGAGCGTCATCTGGCTGTGCATCTATCGATTCACCAGTCAAGAGATCAAAGTAGAACGTACGATCTTCTTTGGACGGGCCTGGCATGGCCCAATGGGCATCTGGTGATGTCCACGACGCAGGTTGTTCTGCATGCGTCGTAGGTGTTCCGAAACTTGCTGAGCCGGGGTCGTCGGGATGTGCCGATGCTCGTCTAACTCCTCTGTAGCCGTACAAGCGCTGATCAAAGTGCCTGTCCTGAACGTGAGCCATGCCGATCTGCTGATCACACGAATGCCAATTAACCCTCTCGTATATTGGGCCTCTTCGCCTCAGTCAACTGCGGTGGTGATGATGGGGCCGAATGTCCTGCACTCGCGTAGTCTTTGACTGGAAGTGATCCTTTTGCCTGCGTCAGGAACTGATGATGATCGACGTCGAACCTTCTTGCTCTCAGGAGGCTGTGACGGTGGCAATCTCTGCCCAGTGATCTCGATGCCGTCGTCGCAACTGAGGTCGTGATTAT